CACTGAGCTTTTGTTTACTTAATCCACATTTGTTGAGCATGCTAGGCCGTGGGAGCACAATCATTGACTAAGTGACCATTCTTGAGGAGATGGACATGAACCAGGAAGTTAGGTTTAGCATAAATTTTGCTTGGGATATATATATATATATATAGTAAGTAGCACAGAAGAAGCATTAGTAGTGGCTGAATTAGGAAGAACAAAGGGGAAGGCGTTGCCCAGATGCTGATTCAAATGGGCTGTGTATTGCTGGTAATAAGAAAAAATTGATCAAAGGACAAGATTATATGGTTGCTTTATCCTTAAGATGGCACTATAAACTCACAATTCCTTTGTAGAGAAAGAATACATACACATAACTGTGATTTATCCAAAAATTTCACTCAAACCTTATAAACTTGAATGACTCCTGTGTGTAAGATACTAAATGCTTGCATGTAATAATTGCATTTAATCTTTACAGCAACCTAAAGAAGTAGAGTCAAGTATTTGCCCCATTTTGCAGACCAGAAATAGAAGTCGGAGAGGGTATAAGTGACTTGCCCTCAATCACAAAGCCTGTCAAGGCAAAAACCTGGATTTAAACGGAAACAGCCTGAGTCTGGAACCATGCACTTAATCACTATGTTGTATCACCTCTTTATAGTAACCCACATGACAAAAAATGCCACCACATTAGCATGACCAGTCACTAAAACTCATTTTCTCCCCCCAGTTCTAGTTAAATCGTACCGGGAAACATGTCCCCGTCTGGCAATACGTCAGAGTCCACGTTAGTAGGTTTCCATTGGTTGCTCTGCCCAGACTTTAACCAAGAAGCTGGCCTGCTGTCCCTGGTCAGATGCCCCACCCTAGGCCCTCTCACAGCACCCTAAGCATATGACCTTTTGGTACTTAGCACTCTGAATTGTGCTGACAGGTTTAGATCTCTGTTTTGCTCACTGATATGTGAGCATCTTTGTAATCCCCATGCTTGGTATAATGCCTGGGGCATAGATTTCTCAAGTCTTTGTGGAACCTTTTCTTCTTCCACATTAAACCAGCCCTTGCATCACAGCCACTATTTCCTCAGCCTCCCCTTTTTCACTACTTTCAAACCTAGACAGCAAATTATAGGAGAGAAGACAATTGTGTGAAAAAGTAGTTTCTATCTGAAACACTTGTGTGCTTAGGTGAAAATTGGAATAAATGCAAACAATGGGGATAAATGTTAAGTGCTACCTGTTAAGTTAGTATGCCTTCCTCCTAGGATATTTCTAAACTCTAGAGAAAACTATACCATGTTTACTATGCTTCCATATTTTCCCTCCAGGTGAAATTTAGTTCAAATGAATGCCAAGGGCAACCTGGAAAAGAAAGAGAAGCATCCAAAAAGCAAATCTTGCAAAAGGAGCACACATGAGGGAGGGTAAACGAATCTGCTCACCTTCCACCTCCTCTCTTCTCTTACAGGAACTTCAGATTGTTTCTGCACAACAAAGGCAACAATGACCTCCTTCCTTTCTGCCCTAAGTCAATAACTAGTTCCCAACTCCCCCTCACCCCACAAGTCCCAAAGCTGGTGCCCCAAGTAGCATTTCTGACTCAGCAATCTTTGGGGCAATTTAGGCAGCTGATAAATCCTCTTGAGTGAGGGAAACTTGGAACCTTTTGCTAGAGTTTAAGTTAATACTGTGGATGGAGCTGTCAGGAGAGCTAGGTTCAGAAGGCGGTCTGATGAGGATTAGAACACAAGTTTGGCAGTGAAACAGGCCGAGGTGCAAAACTAGGCCCTGCTCGGTTGGCATGACTCAATGGTTGAGCATCAACCTATGAACCAGGAGGTCACGATTCAACTCCTGGTCAGGGCACATGTCTATGTTGCAGGCTTGATCCCCAGTAGGGGGCATGGCTGGTCAGGGCATGTCTATGTTGCAGGCTTGATCCCCAGTAGGGGGCATGCAGGAGGCAGCCGATCAATGATTCTCTCTCATCATGGATGTTTCTATAGCTCTCTCCCTCTCCCTTCCTCTCTGAAATCACAATAAATCTATTTAAAAAACCAAACA